GCAGAAAAGGCTAACATTGTTATCTTTTTACAAAAAACCAGCTGACCATGAGAGGTTTTTGGACCAATTTTGTGTTCTCCATTCTTTAAGCACCGGTTTGAGCACCGGCACCGTTTCAAAAGTACTGATTTGGCACCGGTATCGGATAAAACCTAAACGATACCCATCCCTACCGAAGACAACAGTTTACTATGGATAAACGCCTCATCCCACTCCGTAGCCTAAATGGCGACCATTAGGTTGATAATTGCTCCGAGCTCTTTATGGACAGTGTAATCACTAAGTGTGTTAACTACAACTCATTGCAAAAAAATTTAACACGCATAATCAGCAAATTACGCCCCAGCTCATTTACGTCAATGCCTGAAGATGATTTCTGCTGTTAGCTGGGTAGCCCTAACATGCATGCTACCTGCATATTTTGGAAAACATCTACAACTTATTTACAGATCCTGAATTGAAAATCTCATCCATATTTTTTAGAAGTATTTTAACTATGGACCAAAAAATTGTACCCACCAAAAACAGACTCACTACAAGATACTAAACTGTAAAATGATGGCATGTGACATAAAACATTAATGTATTATTTATAATATAACGGAGAAGAACTACTCTTCCCGCAATCCTTAACTGAAACAGCGGCATCTCTGATTGGTGGAAGTTAATAATAATAATAATGGATTGCATTTATATAGCGCTTTTCGGGGCCCTCAAAGTGCTTTACAAGTTGCTGTTGAATGACATTAACCTTGGAAATGTGTAAACCCACAAACATCAGAATGGACGAGTTGCAGTCAGGAACATAGCACCATGCCACATCGATAACTTGGCTACACTTGACCACTCACGCACAATACAAACTACAAACACTAAATTCTAGAAGGCTGGAAGTCGGTTGCTATGGAATCTAGGATTTGATTGTATTATTGGACGAGTAGTTCTTTCACTGTTAAAAGTCATTATGTACACAGCAGTGGATTATCTACTAATTGGAAGGTCAGTGGTTCAACTCCCGGCTTGTCTTGTGTTCATGTTAAAGTGTCTTTGGGCAAGAAACAGAACACTGAGTGGCCCCCAGTGCATCCATGAGGGAGAATGCTAGGTTCAAAGCACTTAGATGCAGTGAATGGGTGAATGAGTCCCAGACCCCGTACCTTAGCTTTTTTTCCCTTTATTTATTTATTTAGTAGATCAAATAAAATCTGTTTATCGTCACGATTTATCTTGTTGCTGGTTGGTTCAAGGCTTAAAACTCTTTTCTGAAACATCAATGGAGGAAAGGAGTGGAATATTTATTTCTGGAAACAGAACTTAAAATAAAAATGGCTGTTTCACCATTTTAACCTAAGCTAACTGCCTGCAGGATGTAGCTTCATGCTTACTTTTATGGATGTGATTTGTTTCAAAGCAGGGCCTTTAAGTTTGTAACCTCGATGATGTTGAAGGTTGTTGCTGGAGCTGGGCAGCAGAAACATGCTTCCACACAACTGTCTTTGCATGTGTCTTGTCTTCCAGATTTTATAACTTTTGTGTTTACACTTTTGTTTGATTACAGGTGACAATCAATAAAAAGAAACCCTTTGATTTGGTTTTAGAAAACATGCTCTGGGCTTCAAAAATATTTTTTTTCTTCTTTTGTCGTTTTGCAAAGAGGGATCTCATACAATTAAATTGCGCTGCTGTAGCTCTTGAGGAACACTGACCAGCCAATCAGTTGCTCCTAGGACTATGAGCCTGGTTTATAACTCTGGTTTAAAGCTGATTTAAATTTTTTCTCCCCACACAATTTCAGTGTCTGGATTGTTGTAATAGTCTGCACTCAATCTGTAAAGTTTCTGATTGGCCAGTCAGAGTCTTTAAAAACAGATTCAAAGGCAGAAAAAAGGTTTTCCCCTCAGGCCAAAGTAATTAAAATCTCAGTGGATAAGCTGGACAAGTTTTTGCCTTTAGAAAACTGAAATCATCAAAACAGCACTCCAGCTTTAGAAATGAACACATTTCTCTACATTGACTTGTGACTTTGTAACTTTCTTTTTTAACGTCAAGACTGTAATTTAACGAGGCCTCTTGACCCTTTAGTGGTACATTGGACGTTTGTGCTGCTTTCCTTTATGGTGCCTGTTTAACATATTTTTATGTACATTATTGTCTCAGTGTAAAAGGCCCAATTACAGTTGTTCTTTGGTTATAGTCTACCATTTTAGTTTCTTTTAGGTATCAAAGAGTAGCAGTCATCAAGCTCGAGGACGATACCCTACAGTCAAGCTTGATGACTGCTACTCTTCTAATGACGACCCCCACCCTTTGAATTAGCTTCTTGACCAGTGGCAGTTATTGAGCTTGATGACTGCCACTATTCGACCAGTCACTGGGCTGGATGAGTGCTGCCACACTTGACTGCTACCCTGCTGAACATAAGGCTGACGCCTCGGGTAGGACTGGGCCTTAGTTGTGCAATGTGACTTTCGGGCTAGTTGCTTTTGTTTCTGTGGATGTTGCTGTAGAATGTTACAATTTCGCAATGGCTTAGTTGCAGGACAGCAACAAGCACAGACGACGAATAAGTGAATGTAACTGCATGGACTAGAGCTTGTTGTGTTAAAGGCATGCTCAGGGAGGGCAGTTTCTGTACAGGATGCATTTACCTCATCATGTTGTACATTTTTTGTTTTAGCTGTAGCATCGTGTATCCAAATATATCTTACAACTGATGCAATTAAATCTAATAAAGATAATCTATTTAACTTGCTTTTTTTGTGTGCATTTCAAAATTAGAAGAAAACCGCAACTTCCAGGTGTCTCATCGTGATATAATCTTTAATCCCTATACATATTATTTCCCTCTGTAACACATCATCATTATCAGTTTTAGACAGAACAGACAGATTGGGTATTTTGGTCAGGTCACAATTAAATTAATAAAAATAATCGATAAATAATACAAAAATCTTCCTCACAATCACATAAGAAAGTTCTACATATTGAATACAACAATGTAACAGGACAGTTAAACCATTTTTATCTGTACAAATAGATGTTCACTTTTGTTTTTCCACATATTTCACATACTTTATGATATACTGCACTTTTGGCCAACATTACAGAAAAGCAGAGGGTTACAGGTTTAACCCCAGTTCTCTGAGTCTTTAAAGGTTCATGAGCGTGAGGATGTTCATCTCCAAACCCAGGTCAAATAATATTTGGAGCAGCTTTTATGTTGTTTGGAGTAGTGGTTTTATTTAACTGGTAAATAGAATTTGTCCCAGGTGTGATCCTCAGCTTCAGCAAGTTTCTTTTTCTCTTGCATTCAAGATGATGCTGGCGGACGATATTTATGTTATAAAGCCAACACACTGCACACTTTTACTGCAGAGAAAAATGAAATCAGTTGACGTGAACAAACACTCGAGTAAACAACAATGTCAGGGCTAGGTTTTTTTCTTTCTTTTGTTTAAAAAGCACCTTTTGACTAAGCCTTGGGAACCCATTAGCTAGTCTGTAGACTTAGCTTCTGGCAGAAATGGCAAAGCCCAAGACAATTTGTTTCACATCCTGATCATTGTTTACAAAAAAAACCTATCAATTAAAACGCAAAATCTTCCTTAGAAAGAATCCAATTTAGTATACTCAAAGCAACAAGACTTACTTTTGATCCTTGATGGTTGTTCACACTTGGCGATGATTTCCAGAATTTAACATTACGGTTAACGCACCGAGTCTCAGTAAGGTCATAGCTATATCAGAGAATTGTCTTAAATATACACAAGAACTGCCACTCTGTGGACTTCCAGTTTGATAGGGGTTCTATGAGATAGTCCTGGATAACTGGGGAGTTCCCAGTTTAATCTGATTTAATCTTTCTGGGATTTCAAGCATGCAAACTCTTCTCTAAGGATTTCTGGCTCTTACTGTAGATTGTAGAAGTCTATGCAACCTCAGTAAACATTTTCCCAACGAGTTCATGGTCTCAGTCGCTACTTTCAAGTGTTACTGAATACAGCATAGTGTTTATTTTGCAAATTGTGGTCCCTGTTAATGTCAAAAAGGATGAAAGGCTGATAAAGCAAGGTATGGGAGTGGGTGCGGTAGATCCACTCCTCGTTTGACACATTTAGCCAGAAGACACTCAGCTCGAAGGGACTTCACTGAGGGGGGTGGGTAAGGTAACGGTGGCTACGTCCATCTTTTAGACTGTTTGTGCCTCTAGCCAACACCTTTACAAGTGTGTGGGAATTATAAGTTGTACGCAACGGCCAAACAACATGGTGGAAATATTTCAGAATATTCTAGTTTTGCAGCCTGAAGCTCATTAAACTAGCGAACAATTTCATACAGCACTGCTTCTTTATGTTATGCAATAAACCTCTGATAAAACTTTGACTTTTTTGTGTTTGTTTGGTTTGTTTTTAGCTTCGGAGTCAAAAATAAAGGGATAATTTTTTTCCGGGTATTATTATCGTGCGGTCTGACTTAGTCAAAAGCTGCACATGGCAAACCAAGCCCTGGTCATTCAGCACAGCTTCAGTACAGACACACACATACATATCCACATGCATCCGCAACCTTTCACGCAGCCACACAACGCACTCCCCGCACACATACACCCACAGGAACGGACAGCCAACGTGGTGAAGACTTGATGTCCATGGCGTCTGTTTTCTTTCTACACCCACGAGTCGGGGGAGCCGGTGAACTTGTTCGCCCTGTTTGAAGGCCTCCGTGTGGTGGAGTAGAAGTCCACATAGTTGGTGTTGGCTTTGAATCGGAGCGACTGGGTGGCGTAGCCGTCGGGAGAAGACGGGGTCAGGTGGGCCGGTTCGTCCTCAAAGTGCTCCTCGCCGTAGCCTTGTGGGGACGACAGGTACATTCTGTAGCTGTTGAAGTTCTTCCTGTCGGGTTCGTCGTAGAATGGCTCTGGGTGCTTGGAAAACAATGTAATCAGTCAGTCTATATAAAATCAACCAAACTGAGAAAACATCCTTACCTGGATGATTGAGCACGACATTACTGTATGATGTAACAACAAAAGGCTTCTTACCTGGGATCTTCTCAGATCCTCTCCTGACTGGGAGGAATAGGTCCCAATGAAATATGGGGTTTTCTTCTCTGACCCTGAGGTGAAAAATCCATAAGTAGAGAGTAAAATAAATATAACTCCAAACTGAAATGGTGGTTGTTTGAGAGAAACACCAGCGGCACGTGTGCAGATCCCTGAGGGATGCCACAAACCTGTGTACTGCCGTTTGTGTAAACTGTTGTCTCCATAATATGTGTCGAGTTGCATAGATGACTGGGCCCTCTGATAGTTTGAACTGTGTCTTCTTATCCCGAGCATCGCTGGCGAGGATGTTGCACTACCGCCTGAAAACAAAGCCAACCAGAAAAATAAAACGGTGATATGATTTAAACCAAATCCTGTTTCCCCCCCAACAATCTATTACTGAAATATGATCATCGGTTTGATGTCTCTCACACCTGATTGAATGACGGGGGACATCTGCATTGGGCTGGTGGGTAGGGTCGGCTGAGAGCGGTATCGGTCCCGCTCCAGAGTGGAGACGGGGGTGACAAAGTGGGTGTAGTTCCAGCCATCCTGTTCACATGTATGACAAAAAGAAAATAAAGAGGCATGCTTGTGCACACATGTAGGAGCTCCTGCAGGGTTTCTTTAATATGAATACATACATTTAAAACCTCCCCCCAAAAAACAAAATTGGCTCTATAGAATAGACAAAAGCCTTATGGAGTTAGGCTATGGATACTGGAAAAAACAAAAAACATCAAACGTTTCCAAGGCTGTTTAGATGCTCAAATTGCTGCAGCACCTGCTGGGGGAATGGTTGAGGACCTACATGTACTTAAATTACTGCATTTACGTAGATTTCATCCATTCACCTTCTGCCACAGACCTCCCTGACCACCTCCTCCTGATCTCCTGTGGGGAACAGTATTGTAGGGTCCTTTACCTTACAATATAAATCACCTTGAGGCAACTGTTGCTATATAATAATTTGAACTGAATTAAATTTTCTGTCAGAGAACCATGGCCTCAGACTTGATTCCCACCCCTGTTGCTTCACACTCAACTGTAAACCACCCCAAAGCAAACAGGGGCCATCCCCCGACGGAGCCAAAAGAACCACATAATCTGCAAAAAGCTGAGATGACATCTTGAGACCCTCCACTCTTTGGCTGTTCCTAGAAATTCTGACCATAAAAGTCATGACCACAATTGGTGGCGCAACTGGACCGGAAGGTTTCATCAGTTTGAATCCTGTGCCACAACACTTTTACCGCATAAGAGTTACAGGTTTGTTACGAATTTTGCCTGTGGCTGTAACAGTCAGTGGTGAATTCCTTTATTCTTTGTCAATTTGGCTTTCATAACAGCTGCTGTGTTTAATTGGTAATATCAGTGGCTGCCGTTTCAAATCTGGCTTTCCTAAGAATCATATAAGATGAGACTTTTACAGCATGTGTCATTTATGCAGATCCTACATCATGAGTCATCCTCATGGCACGAAACATGTCCCTTCAGCTGTGAATGTTTCTCCTTTCTTTATAGTTGAAACAGGAAGAGCGATTTATTGAAGCATGTGCAAAAACATGTAAATACAAGCAAATAAGGGAAAAACAGTTTGTACCATGCTAACGAGCTGAAAGTCAGTATTTGGTGTGACCACCTTTATTCTTCAGCACAGTCTGAACTCTCTTTCTTGTTATTTCTTTAATAAGTCGTCTCCAGGAATAGTTCTCCAGGTTTCTTGAAGGACATTCAAAGCTCTTCTTTGGATGTTTCTGCCTTTTGTTCTGTTCTCTGTCAGCATGATCCCACACTGCTTCAATAATGCTGAGGTCCGGGCTCCGGGGAGGCCGATCCATGACTGATAGTGTTCCACTGTGTGTTTTTCTGTCCAGGTATTTATTGCATTGGCAGTGTGTTTGGGATCATTGTGATGATCAGTGCTTGATTTTTTCCTTTCTTAAGGACATTTTTTTCCAGACACTCTTCATCTGCTCTAGATATATATATATATATATATTTAGGCCCGATACCTCTTGTTTTGTCCTCCGCTTGTCCCGTCGCTTCAAATTTTTAAAGACTCCACAGTACATAGGTCACTTTTATCACACTTTTATCACAGCAAAACAGCTCTGGGGTTTTGCTGTGGCACTTTGCACAAAATTGATGGAATAATGACGGAGGAGGACTACCTCCAAAATCTTGAACCTCACCTCTAATCAGCAGCTTCCAACAAATTGAAATGTGGACACAGTTGGATGTTACAGCAGGACAACGATCCCAAACACACATCACAACTGGCTGTAGCTCAGGCGGTAGAGCAGGTCATCATCTACTGATCGGAAGGTTGGTGGTTCGATTCCTGGCTTCCCCTAGTCTGCATGCCAAATATCCTTGGGCAAGATACTAACCCCAAATTGCTCTCCGATGCATCCATCGTGTGTGTGAATGTTACTTAGAAAGCACTTAGAAAAATGTGCTTGTGCAAATGGGTGAATGCACAAGTTGTGTAAAGCGCTTTGAGTGCTCAGAAGAGTAGAAAAGCGCTATAAGAACCAGTCCATCTACCATTTACTGAGGGATGTGATATGCTGATAGCCTTTTCTTATCTTAGCACCCACATTTTGATAGATGTGACCAAGGGACTCTCATTCCAATGAAGTCAGATTAACAGAAGGGAGTGCACTTCTGAAAGAGACTTTGGATAATGAAGGCCTTGAATGATTACCGTGCCCTGAATTACAAACAGACGATAAGAAAGATAATCAGCATCTCCCTGAAAGAGCCTTTAAATTTCTTGAGGTGTAAATGGAGTTTTAATTCCATCAGTGTGAGTTCTTCCACATGTGTCTGCTCGTACCCACCTGTTTGTAGAGGGTCCTCAGCTCTCTGTACTGCCACAGGGTGTTCAGCACCTGAGCAGCTGCCTTCACAACCTTCATCGAATATCTGTGACACACACAGTATGTAAAATAAAATGAGTTAAACCAGTTAAGGAGTGCCTGATTTTCTGTCACCCATCACCTGTCACAGTGGTAGATGCTCATTATAAACGTAGCGAAATGAGTTCAATAATAAAAACATGAAGGTGGTCACGTCTTACCCTTTCCCTCGACCTTTGCTGATATCCACCAGTTTCTCGATGCCTCCGCTGTCGGCTAAAGCTTTGGCGTTCTCCATGTTGCGGCTGATGACTTCATGCAGCGTGCAACAGACTGATGCCACCGTGTCGTCTGACAGCACAGTGGGACTGCCGCCAGGCAGCCGGTTCACCAGATCCCGCATGGCGTACTTTCCTGCAGGTGGAGAGACAGACAGAACAGAAGGTCTGGATCTGCTCTTAGTGGATTAACAAACAAGTTTAACAAACAAGAATTGGTGGCACAAGATTGAATTAATGTCGGAGAATTGTAGATTTACAAAAGTTGGGAAGGTCTCTTCGAGCCATTTCTAAACAACTGCAGATTCCAAGATCATCAGATCAAACAATAATAAGTACATGTAATTCAGACGTGTCACCAATTTGCCAGAAGAAGACAAGATGACTCCAGGACTCAAACCTGTCATGAACTGAAAACATCTGGAACACCAGCGTCACCGTCCACAGCGGAGTGAGTTTTACATTACCATGGACAGAAAGAAGCCCCTGCTCCAATATAGACGAGCCAAATACCTTCTGGAGAAAAGCTTTATAGTCAGAGAAGACAAAGATTGAGCTTTTTGGTCAAAATGAAAAGATGTTTAGAGGAGTAAAGGTACGGCTCTCAAAACCTGAGAACACTATACCAGCTGCTAAGCATGGTGGTGGTACCATCATGCTCTGGGGCTGTTTTGCTGTGGCACTTTGCACAAAATTGATGGAATAATGAAGGAGGAGGACTACCTCCAAAATCTTGAACCTCACCTCTAATCAGCAGCTTCCAACAAATTGAAATGTGGACACAGTTGGATGTTACAGCAGGACAACGATCCCAAACACACATCACAACTGGGGGTCGAGTGGATACAGCAGGCTAGCATTAAGCTTCAGGAATGGCCTTCCCAAAGTCTCTTATATATACTTAAGTATATGTTTGAACCTGTATGCATGTATACGTCTGAAATTTGTGCACCCACTTCAGGATTTCATTAACACTGAACATGTGTAAATGTGTAACAGTGCTGTTTATTTGCAGGCAGAGTATTAAGAGATGTTTAGTTTTGCTGAATCAGTTTTAGTGGCCGTCTTTCGTTCCTTTTACTGCAGCTCTATACTTGGGCGTGGCAAGATGCCACAACCCAAGAATGACTGTTCACAGGTAAGTTTTAGGTGTTCACCCTTCCCAGGAGCAGCATTTAGGCATTAGCTCTACTTTAACTGTAATTTGTTTGCAGATAGGAGAGGGCACAAATGTAGGATTGTGTCACCACTAGGGGGCAACGTAATGTCAAAGACTGAGTATGTGCTGGCTTTGAATAAACAGTTGAGGGGTGTGTGTGTGTACCTATCAGTTCCTTGTTGCGGCTGTCCAATGCCATGTTACGCAGAGCGGTGGCGACGGAGCAGACTACCCGGTCATTGTCCATCCTCAGCAGCTCCACCAGGATGGGAAGGCCCTTCTCCTTACGCACCGCTGCTCGGATGTAGGCCGAAAACTGCAAAAATAGAAACAGAGTTTTAAATGCCCCGAAAGGAGTCAAATATTGTTTTTACCCATCAGATTCCTACTGTGACAAACACAAGACTTGACCTGCGATGTCTCTGTTTGTATTCACTGGAGGTCTGAAGTTGGCAAAATAGGACTGAGATGAAAGCTGATGGCTTGTTCTGATGTTCCAAAGAAACAGTTCAGAAAGTCTGGAGAACTATTGCTCAAGAGCGCTTTATAATGGACAAACAAGTCTGACTGCTTGGTGGCTCAAGACTTTTCCACAGTGTTGTCTATAATTAGGAAAATCTGCACCTTGTGTTAGCCTTAGACGAGGTCTTACCTTCCAGTTTCCTGCAGAGAGGTTCTGCAGGGACCCGGCAGCGCCCTCCAGGGTGGCGGGGTTGGAGCTTTCAGCCAGCAGGTTGAGGTACGGCTTCACCACCATTGGGTGCCACAGCAGCTCTGCTCCTCTCAGAGACTGGGAGAAACCCGGGACTGTCCCGACACCGTCCCACTGCGACAAACGCACCAAGGCACAGAAAGTGAAGTCGAGTTTGTATAATTGGGAGTGCTTAAACTGCTTAAAGGGCGATTCCTCTAAGGGTTGCTTGATCCAGGAGAGGGAAAATTTTATTTACATAAACTCTTTACATAAAAACAAGCACCTAAAACCATCTTAGAATCAATAACTACCCCACGGAGCAGCCAATTCATTCTTATCCTGTCTCTATCATCTTCCTCTGTCACACCAACTATGAAGCAATCCATGAAGCTTCTCTGTGGTCTTCCTCTTTATCGTCTGCCTGGCAGCTAAGAACTTTTGAAGATTTCAGTTTTCAGTTTAAATCTAGAGCTACAAGGACCCGTCATGGCTCATATTTGCTTTCACTTGCTGACGAATACAGAGGACAGCAAACCTTACAGCTGTGCCAGTTTCTGCCCAGTTTTCCTGTCGGGATAAATTATATGAAGGCAAAAGGTGAGATTTTTGTGGTTTCTGTTGTGGATCAGTCCCGCTGCATTCAGAGTCCGTTTGGAGGGCAAACGGTTTAAATATTCTGAAAAAAATAAAACACCATCCAATAGCTTTTTAAAGATCTATCTGCACTCTGACCCCAGCAAACAGATCAGGGTACATTTTTGACTGCGCCAGGTATAAACTGGAGGGTTCCCTGAGATCACCAGACTAGCTTTTGAGTTCTCAGATTGCTCAACAGGTAACTGCTCTTATACACATCTTGTATATTTTTAGTACTTTTAAAGCACATAAACATCTTTTCATGCTTTAAAAGAACGCCTGTAAAAGGCCTCAGTCGTACCTTAGAGTCGGGCCAGCCGCCTCTCTTCCTGCCACGCCTCCTCTTGCCCCAGCAGAGGTAGTCCAGCTCCTTGGCTGGGGAGGAGAACCCCAGCAGGGTGTCCAGCTCCTGGTTGCCGAGGAGACGAGAGGAGGGCATCTCCATCTCCAGGCGGTACGAAAGGTTCCTCAGGGTGCAGACGCTGTTCTCCACTATCTGAAAGTAAAAGTGAGAACTGAGCATTTCTTTTGTTTCTGCCTCTTCTTCTGTGTTTCCTGCTAATGAAACCTGATGGTGGTGCTAGAGGAAAGTTTTCACATAAAATCAAACATTAGACATCTGCTCTGCAGAGCTCTTGTTTCAGCCTGTGGATGGTGCAAAAGGTTTATTTCTGTTATATGATGTTTTGTCTGTGCAAGTAGTTTAGAATTTTCAGAGCACTGACATCGACGTTTTATTGCTTAAGCTATTTATTTCTATTTGTTAGCTAAGGTAGCTGGGACACTACATCCTCTTCTTGTTTGCATGATGATGATATTATGCCACACGTCTGCAACACTTCTGTGCTGTAGTTGTATTTTCTGTACTGAACATGTGATGCCCTTGGATGTTTCCCCAGTTTGCTTGTTATCGTGTTTTAGAGGTTCAAGCTTTATATTAACTTTTAATATCATTATTAAAGGTCAGGGTCTTTTATTTTCATATCAATGAATCTTTTGTGAACTACAGATGATCATTAAGCCTATACAGCTATATATATATATAAATTTTTTTTTTTTTTACTTGGTGGTGATAGCCACAAACACCTATGTTTGATTCTTGAAACACATTTTTCTGTTCCTAGGTTTTAAATTATAGGAACTATTACCACAGCAATAGTACTTAGTAGTAAAAGTACTTATGGATCTATCTGTGAAGTGTTGAAGGGTTATCAACTGAAGATGAACACAGGCCAGGGTTCACTTCCATGCAATACCAATTTGTACCACAGGATGGTGCAAGTGAGTCAAGTAAGCATTTAAAAAGATTTGCCTACATTTCAATCCATTATTGTATTAGTAATTTAAAATCAGGTGGTGCCTAAAAACAAACAGCAAATGCTAAACATCAGCACACCCCTGAAAACATTTCATCACACCCACTGGTAAAATGTTGCACCCTGGTGGTCAAAATTGTAGTTGAATTTATGAATGCATAACATCTAAACACATGTATAGTACGTTTATGTGGCCTGGCCACGTACAATCACATATAATGGTAACTAAGTAACGGTGACGACCACTTATTGTACACTACTTAATAGGTCAAAAGTAAAGTTTTACTAGGAGAATTTGTCAGAAAAAATAACTTTTGACTTCCCTCAAAGAAATCTTGAGCAGCAAGCAGTTAGAGGTCTCTGTCTAATTAAATACTCCACATATAACAAAAAAGAAACAAATAGTAAATATGTGTTCTGGCAGAGCCCTTTACAGACCACATAGATTATAAAGGATGGATGTTAACCTCTTACTGGTTTAAATCAGGGCATCCTTATAACAGCAGTCTCAGTAGCTGTAGTTTGCACATACTGCAGTATGTGAGTATTGAGGGATCAGATTCAGGTCCCCAGAGTGCGGTTCCAGCTGTGTCTGGGTCAGGTTAAGTTGGGATGACTCTCTCGGGGATAAACTGTGACAAAACATGACTCACACACTCATGTGCATCTTTGTGTGTTTGTGCTTTGCTGCACCTTGCTGTCGTAATCGGAGGTGTTGACGCAGGCTCTGAGGACGTGGAGCAGCGAGTCGACCAGACCTTCACAGCACCGCAGCTGACTCCT